ACCATCGTGGAGCATCCTGGATGGTCGAGCCAGAAAAACGCACGACACCAAACCATGCACAGGGAATGGAAGTCCGGCCGATGGCGAGATGCCCTTCCTTCTCCCTCGCCCTCTCTCTCTCTCTCCCTCCCTCTCTCTCTTCCCTCTCTCTAGAACTCTCCTTCTTCCTTCCCGCCCCCTTACAGTGGTGGCCCATGCCAAGAAACACCCTGCTTGCCTCCAGGTGCCCTGGGTTTCTTGGGTTTCGATGGTTTTTCAATGGGAAGCGTGACGTTCCCACACTTTAAGGAATGGGCGTCCCGGGGTCTCAAAGGGTTGGGTTTCTTGTGGAAGGTTTCTTGTGGATCGGCCCCAACTGTACTGGCGACTGCCCTCCTGGGCCCCCTCTCCAGACAGCCGGGGGATCAGCAGCGGGGGCGGTTGGTGGACAATCCCGCCCAGGGAAGGGAGGGGCCTTGGCCTTGGCCCAGCAGGAGTGTGCGGCCCGGGCCTCGCTTCGAGAGGACCATAACGGGACGGCGCGCCTGGAGGCTCCAAGGGCCCTTATAAATGGAGGCCAGACCGCCATGCTGGCAGTTCTGTTCTCGTTCCCAGACCCCCTCGGGTCATGAAACAGTCCTGACGGGAGGACTTTCGCCATGTTCGGCCTCTGGAGGCTCTCACCCGGCCTCGGGACCGTCAAAAAACGACGCAGGATGGGAAGCGGGTCCCCGGGAAGGGGTCTGGACTTCTGGGGGTCGACGTCCTGAAAAAATCACGACGTCGGAAGTCCAGGTTGAGAGCCAGACATGCCCGGGTCGTGGTAAACACGGCGGTTTTGATAATTTCTCGGCCCCAGGCGCGCGGGGACCCTCGCCGGGACCCAGAACACAGCAAACAAGCAACTCGGGATGCAGAGCCGCCCCTGAGGAGAAGGCCGGGACTTCCGGGGGCCCTGTATACAGAAAGCAAGACCCAGACCCCCGACGTCATGATTTTTTCATAACCTCGACCCCCAGAGGTCCGGACCCCTTCCCCGGGACCGGCTTCCCATCCTGCGTCGTGTTGTCCACTGTCCCGAGGCCCAGCGAGGGCCTCCAGAGGCCGAAAATAGGGAAAGGCCTCCCGCCTGGATTTGTTCATGCCCCGAGGGGGTCTGGGGACATCGCAGGGCCGGGGAGCTTTCTATAGGCTCTCGAGCCTCCGGGCTCCGTCTCGCCTTCGATCTCGCGTCCAAGCAAAAAGGGTGCTGTCCGCCGATCTCGGCGGGGGTCGGACCCTCGCCTCTGTGTTTTGTTTTCGCTTTTCTCCGGCATAGCTCGAGCAGGGGCGAGGCGCCCCGGCTTGTGTCTCCAGGCCCACCAGTTGGATGTTCTAAGAACCGTTTGTGGGTCGGACGAAGTTCGGTGGCGGCCAAGAGGGGGGCTGGTGACTAGGGGGGGGATATCATGGCGTGGGCCATGTCATGTCCCCAGATTTCATGGCGCCTCTTCTTATTTCAATACGTCCCCGGCCGCCCCCTGGGCCGCGCACATTCTGCCGGCCATGATTTGCGCCCCCCCTCTGGAACGCCCCCCCCCCTTGGCCGCCCCCGATGTTTGTGGGTCGCGCGAAATGTTCTCAGAACATTTCTGGCTGGGACTCTCTCGTTCTGACGCCTCGGGCTCATGTTATAAGAACACTGTCATTGTCATAGGAGCACTTCTGGGTTCTAAGAACTTTCATGGTAGGCCTATAGGAATGCCGGGACGGTCGGTCCCTGCTCGATCAGCTGCGCCTGGCGAGAGTCAAGGGGCGCCACCATATCGTCCCAGACGGATTTCCTGGGGGCCGACGCCCCCACCGCTCCTCCTCCTCCTCCTCCTCCTCCTCCTCCTCCTCCTCCTCCTCCTCGTCCTCCTTCTCCTCCTCCTCCTCTTCCTCCTCCTCCTCCTCCTCCTCTTCCTCCTCCTCGAATCAGCGGCTGGACTGGGCTCGAGGAGTTGGTCCAGGTGCTGTCTGGGGTTTGTCGATTAGACGTAAGAGTGACCGTTGGTGCGGGCCAAATGGGGCATCCGAATCGCCAAACGCGAGGCGGCAGAGGCGTCTGGCGCGCTTGTGTTTGGTCCCCCCGCGGCCCCCCAAAAGCCGCGCACCACAGGTCACTCTTACCCAGGGTCACTCTTGCGTGTAGCCGAGTCTGGTCGAGGGACAGAGTTTGAGCACATCATCGCTGGAGCGGGTACGAGTGGTGCTTGTCTTTCCTACGCGCGCCCGGGCTTGCGGTGAGGCCATGCTTCCACGATCCTCCCGCCTGTGTCCAGCATGTGTGCCCTGGTGGACCTCGTGTTGGACCTGCACACTTCTGCTTGCATGCACATTCGTATCCTGCCGGATTTCAGTAGTTTGCGCTAAGATGCCAACCCCCATGGCACGATATACGTTTCTCTATTCCCAGCCCTCCTGGTTGTTGGGTCCTCGTTTTGAATCAGCAGCGCCGCGCCCAACCTCCTCACCTCTTCGCCTCCCCCCTCCGCCTCCCCTTCCTGATGTCATTGCTCTCTTTGTGTTCAATGCGGCACGCTTCGTGGCCCCATAGGGAGCCCCACACAAATCTCCAGTGAGGGCGCCAGTATGGCACCACAGCCTCATTCCGGCACTCCCTCGCACGTTCTGTGGCCCCATATGGATCTCCACCTATGGGCCAAGTGAGGGCGCCCTCATGTCACTACCTCCCCCACTTCGCGCACCACTCACACGTTTCGTGGCCCCATAGGGATCTCCACCTACGGCCCCAGTGAGGGAGTCTGTATGGTATCACCGGCTCATTTCGGCACACCACTCATTCGTTCCGCGGCCCCATAGGGGGCTCCAGTTACGGCCTAAGTGAGGGCTGCCGCATGACACCACCGCTCACACGGTTCGTGGCCTTATTTCGGCGCCTTATTCGAGGATCATGCCCCTTCGGCAGGCCAGTGTAAGGATTTCCAGCATTCAGATTGCATGCAGCTGCTCACGGTTGGGTCCTTCGCCTGGATAATTTTCTTGGCAGTTTGACATCTAGAGCAAGCGGATGACTGGCGTTGTCGTCGCCCTCGCATCGTCGCCGTCGCCAATATCGTCGTCACCATCATCACCCGCCCGCCCTGCCCGCCCACGTTATAGATTTTCGCGTCATTGCGCCAGCTGAGGTTCGCCAACGATTTGTGGGTGGATTGGTGGGATATTTGTTCGATCGGTGGAACCTGGGAGTTTCGAACCCAATTGCGCCGCATAGGTTGCACCGCACACACACACACACACACACATATAGTGCACCGTACACAGGTGCACCCCGTATATGCTCTTCTTTACAATGGTAATAAACCCCCCCTTCACACGCGACATCTGACCTTCCCAGATAATGCGCTACGAGGCACGCGTGCTCTCCAAATATGTTTCAAAGAACATGTTTTTTTCAAGTATCAAGATCAAGATATGGTCAGCAAGGAACTGCAACATAAGAATAGGGATTCCAACCAAGCAGTTGCTAGAATGATGCGCCCGTCCTTGCTAAAAAGCCGTAAGAAAACAGTTGGCGTCCATCCTTTCCATGCGAGCGTGTGGGTCATTTTTCGCCCTCATGTCGAACACGTCCAAGCACCATCGCGTGCCAACTATGTCAAATATTGCCGTGCGGACCGCGCGCGTCCGCCGCGCGCGCACATCGAAATCGTTTCAAAACCATTCGTACTCAAGCAATGTCAGCGCAGATGTGCACACATGGACACGAACTCCAAATGGTTTTCAACAAAACACATGTCAGTAAGCTTGAATGCCTGCGGGCACACACGCTTTCTCATCGTCCTCGCCAGCACAATCATGAACATCATCGCCTGCGTCATCATTGAAATCGTCGGCATCATCACCATGGTCGAGATCATCAGTGCCGTTGTCATCGTCGACGTCGTCGCCCTTGTTTTCTTTTTTGCGCAGGCACTTCGTCCTTTGTCACTGCCATCAGCAGCACAATCGTCATCATCATCGCCAGCGTCATCGCTTCCCCCGCTGCTATCACGACAGTCCGCTTCATCGCCGTCGTCGTCGTCCGCGTCGTCGTTATCAACAACGCCCCCACCGTCTCCATCAACATCACTTGCGCAATCGTCGACGTTGCCGCTGTCGCCAACCAGTTGGGTATTGCCAACAAGTTGCTGGTGGATGGGTCTGATGGTTGCGCGAGCAGTGGAGTGACGGCTCCGAGACGGGCAAACACGATCGCACCACGTAGAATTCACAGCGTATGTTTTGTAGGTTTAGGGCAGCATAGCTTGCGTGGCACTGCTGAGTTTAAACTCGCAACACTAGGTGAGCATCCTTGGCGTGTTGCTCAACAGAGGTCTCACGTTGAGAGTGCAATAGGCCACTACGTGGGGGTACACGCTGGCAATATTTGTAAAGTTGTGATCAGCGGGCCACTCGTGCCCTGAAACCGTGCAAGAGCTATAACGCACCCTTATGCAGTTTGCAGGGTGTTGTCAGCCATCAAGTCGGTTGTGGCTCGATTCGACAGGTCGTGTAGTTGAACATGCTGGTTCTGCATCAGGAAAGAAGGCGTTCGTCAGACTGGAAGTGCAAGGTCCGCGACTGCGTCCAGTGCGTTCCTTTCTTGCAGCGCGTCGTGTTCCCAAGTGTTGTATTTGCGCAGTGGTCGGAGATGTGCTCTGCGCTTTGCCTTCATGCTCCAGGGAGGCCGATCTTCTCCTGACTACACAAGGTGCTTCGAAGATGATTCGAGGGTCTAGGATTCGTTCGCCCAGAGTTCCACAGCGCGCTTAGCAGCACACAGGTGTGTATGAAACTCCACGCAGCCTTAAACTGTGATGTCTGCAGATGAAGTTCCCCGGAGGCTTTCTGCGATGCCTGATAAAACGTCCGTCCTTTCTTTTCATCTATGGTTTGAGTGCGGGCGCTCATTGCCACACGCTCTGCAGCAGTAGCGAATGCCGCTGCGCGTGGCAGTCGCATGATGGACGTCGCTGCGTGTCATCACAGTTGTGTTCGGCCAGTCGGGGCAAGTTTGGGCGTTCGAGTTCCTGGCGTGACGCGCAAAGCAGTATCACGTGTGTTTTTTGTCTGCCCTGCAGGTGCCTCCGCATTCCGCAGCCATCTGGGCTCCTGGCACGCTGCAGTGATGGGGGCCGCCAGCGCCCGCTGCCTCCGAGACAATGATGCCTGCGGCCAGGGCGGCGCCGCCGCCGCTGGCGGCTCGCCTGCTCCTGTTCGCGGTGGCCGCGCCGCTGCTCCCCACGGGCGCCGCCCGCGGGGCTTGCCACTGCGGCTGCTGTGAGGTGGAGGTGCGCCGCGGCCAGGACTCCCTCGAGGGCAGCGGGCGGCTCGAGTGCACGTACGCGGAGCCCGGACTGCGATACGCCTCGCCGTTCAGAGCTCCGGCAGCTGCGTGCGAGAGCTTGTGCCTCCGGCCCGCCGCGGATCAAGTGCTGACCGCGGTCGAGGCCCCCGACATGGACACGCAGCGCTTCTGCTTTTTCGAGTGCAAGCCGTCGCGCAACATCACGGAGGGTGCTGGCAAGGAAGCGCCCCGCCGCGGAGCGCAGCGACCAGATTGGCGGGGCGCCGCCTGCGAGCCCCTCGGCCTGCTGGAGGCGCAGGAGGTGCGGGACCCGAGCGGCAACGCGCTGCCTCCCATGGAGCAGGCGCACCTGGTCGCCAGCTTCCTCCCCGGAGGTGCGCGGGGATCCGCGTCTGCCGCGGGCGGCCCCGCGTCCAGGCAGTGATGGGCCCATTTTCCACCACCACCACCACCACCATAGGAAGGAGAGGGAGGAGGAGAAGGAGAAGGAGAAGGAGGAGGAGGAGGACGAGGAGGAGGATAGGAGGATAGGAGGAGGAGGAGGAGGAGGAGGAGGAGGAGGAGGAGGAGGAGAGGAGGAGGAGGAGGAGGAGGAGGAGGAGGAGGAGGAGGAGGAGGAGGGGAGGGAGGGGGAGGAGGAGGAGGATAGGAGGAGGAGGAGCATAGGAGGAGGAGGAGGAGGAGGAGGAGGAGGAGGACCTCCTCATCCTCCCCTGCTCCCCCGTCCCACATGTGGTAGCGGTGGTGGAGCAGTTGCCCACCAAGGCAGCCTGGCCCAACCGCCGAGCGGCCCGAGGGCGAGAGGTTCGGAGCGGCGCTGGCGGCCCTGCGGGCGCAGGGCGCGCAGCTGGCGGAGCTCGCGGGGCGCGCCACGGAGGCGGCCGCCGAGGCGGCCCAGGCCGCGAGGCGCACGGAGGAGCTGTCGTCCAGGGAGGACTGGACGGGGGAGAACTTACTAATGGGGATCCCCTCCTCTCTCCTTCCTCCTCCTCCTCCTTCTCTCCTCCTCCTCTTCCTCCTCCTCCTCCCCTCCTCCCTCCTCCTCCTCCTCCTCCTCCCTCCTCCTCCTCCTCCTCCTCCTCCTCCTCCCTCCTCCTCCTCCTCCTCCTCCTCCTCCTCCTCCTCCTCCCTCCTCCAACATGCCGCAGTGGTGGCGGAAAATCGGCCCCTCGAGGATGCCGCGCTCTCTGCCGGACGCGCAGCCGTGGAGGACGCCAGGCGCGCTGCGCAGCGGGCCCTGCGGGCCGAGTCGCAGGCCCGGGCGCTGCGCGACCGGGTGCGGCAGGATCGGGGAAACGTACTCCGGGTTCCATAATCAAGCAGGGGGGGTTACATTTGGCGGGGGGGTCTGATTTGAGCTGTCTTGAAGGGTCTGGGCAAAGTGCCGCCCTTTCATGGATGGTCTGGGGGGTCTATAACTTGTGGTTTGGGAGGGTTGTGACCCCCTCCCTTTTATTACGAAATCTGGAGTAAGGTTCGTGGGCGGCCAAGAGGGGGGTGAGGACTAGGGTTAAGTCGGCCTGTTCCTCTACGGGAGGAGGATGGAAAACTAGTCCACAAATAGTCAGGAGACGACTTTTCTATTATTCTTGAGTACATTGTTGGCATGTTTCGACTATTTTTGGTTTTTCGTCCAGAATCCGCATGCAGGGTGACATGCCCGACCTAAGACTAGGGGGGCGGATATCATGGCGTGGGCCGTGATGTTTCCCAGATTTCATGCTGCCTCTTCTTATCTCATTGCGCGCCTGGGTCCCCCACCTTGTCCGCGCACATGCCGCCCGCCATGATTTGCGCCCCCCCCTTCTTGGACGCTCCCCTCGGTGCCGCCCCCGATAAGCCGGAACTTGGGTTTGCCCACGTTTTTGGACGAGCGCGTCCTGGATTTTGACGGTCCGGTTTTCGTGGGATATCTGCAGCGGGAGCTCGCGTCAGCGTCCAGATTGGGCCTCGTCATTTTCACGATGGCTCCGTCAGGCCAACTCCAGCCCCCCGTACCCTTAAATCGGGCACGTCCCTACACAGGAGGAATATCCAAAGATAGTCAAAACACAGTCGGGTGAACGATGTTTCGAGCACTTTTGGTAATGTTTGAATATGTTTTGTATGTATTTTGTTTTTCGTCCAGAGTCCACCTCTAGGAGGGCCTGCCCGACCTAAGCGTACCCGAGTCTCACGTCTCCACGACAGGAGGTCCGGCAGGAGGCGTTCGGCATGGTGCCGCAGGTCCTCCGCTCGGTGCGGAGGGAGGCGCTGGCGGAGGCGGGGCGCCCGGCGCGGCGGCAGGCCATCTCGGGCTCCAGCGCCGAGTTGGCAGCCGCGCGGGCCTGAGAGAAGAGCCGCCGGGGAAGTGCAGAAACTCAGAGCCCCGAATCATCAGGGGTAACTCGGGTCAGGGATAACTCGGGTTCGTTTTTCGGGAATCCAAACCCGAGTTACCCCGGACCCGAGTTACCCCGGATAACTCGGGCGTCCAGAGCCCCGAATCATCAGGGGTAACTCGGGTCAGGGATAACTCGGGTTCCTTTTTTCGGGAATCCAAACCCGAGTTACCCCGGACCCGAGTTACCCCGGATAACTCGGGCGCCCAAGAAACAAACCAATCCGAGGGTGCCTGCGCTGGGCCGCATGTTTCGGATCCTTCGTGCCAGCGCGCGCACGACGTCATGGCGATAATAGTGCAAGACGAGGGGCTCGAAGATGCTCGCGTGTACGACCGCACGCGCGCCGGGCAAGTGCTAGGGATTGGTTGCCAGGGTCGTTGTATTTTACAGCGGGTATGGGAATGGCAGGGTAGTTGTTGCATGGCATGTTTTGCCGTGCGCTCTATGGGCTCAGAGAGACATTGCGGGGCCCGTCCAGCGATGTGTACTACGTGATTGGCGACCGCCTTGGAGCGAAGCTTTGCCCAATAGCAGTGAAATGATAGCTGGTTTTGCGAGGAAGAGAGATTATGTTTCGCCCTTGTTTCTCTTCCCTGCCCGCGCTTCCTCGGCTGCGCAGTTGGGGGGGGGTCCGCGGCGGCCGTGGAAGCGCCATGGACGCGCTGTTTGTGGTCATTGCGCTGCTGGCTCTTCTGCGCGCGCAACGAGAGCATAGCGAGAGAGCACTTTCATGCAGACTCTATATGGTCGGCTCCTCTGTTGTTGTGTTCTCTCTCTCTCTCTCTCTCTCTCCCCTCCTCGCTTTATCTCTCTCTCTCTCTGTCTCTCTCCCTATCTTTCCGTTCCCCAAGCAGTGTTTGCATTTTGGTATTCTTATTTTTTTCTACCGAAATTGGCCTGTCTGGCGGTCTGGTGGCTATGTTGTCGCCGTCGCCGCCCCGTCGCCGCCGCGTGGCCGCCCTTCGTCTGGGCCTGTCTGGCGGTCTTGCGGCTGTGTTGTCGTCGTCGCCACCCCGTCGCCGCCTCGTCGCCGCACGTCGTTTGGGCCTGTCTGGCGATCTGGCGGCTTGGTGTCGCCATCGACGCCACGTCGCCGCCTCAGCGCCGTCCGCCGTCTCGGCTTGGCGAACGGTCTGGCGTCTATGTTGTCGCCGTCGCCACCCCCGTCGCTGCCTCGTCGCCGCAAAGTCGTTTGGGTCTGGCTGTTGGTCTTGCGGCCATGTTGTCGCTATCACCGCCCCGTCCCGTCGCAGCCGCCCCGCTGCACAACAGATAGATCGCAACACATAGACTGCACCAAGTCGATTTCACGCCACATACATTGCAGCACATACATTGCAGCACATAGATTGTACAGCAAGCCTTGCACAACATATGTTGCTGCACCCGGCATGCTGCACCACACAGATTGCTCCGCATATGTTGCACAGCATGCATGATTCCACATTGTATTGCAGAAAGGATATTGTGCGACATCGATTGCACACCATATACCTACATTGCACCGCATGCAGTCAACATTGATAGTAAGGACGATCGGCTTCCAAAGGGTATGCTTGCATCCTTGCCTCTTTGGTCATCTTCGGTCCATCCTCAACCACTGTCGATGGTCAGCCCGCTCGAAAAGCTTCGACATGGGCATCCATGGCCCTTGCATCATTACCGCACATACTTATTCTTAGTTTTGACCGTAGTGTTTCACATGGTTTGCCAGCGTAAGTTGCGCAATCTAGATTGCACAACAGGTATTACACCACAGACGTTGCTTCACATATATTGCACCGCGTAGGTTCCTAGAAACATCCTGTTCGGCTTCCACGTGGATTGACACTTCACTTTCTCTCTCGTATGTATGTATGCATATGTGTCTATGTTTGTATCGTACACGATGCGCTTACGGCTGCCAGGCTTGCTCTGTTGCCGGGGTGATTGGAAGCTTCACGGATGCATGTTGCATGGCGCCTCTCATCAGGACCAGTGGAGCGTTTTGTTTATGATGGTTTGCCTTGTGCTTCCTTTCAGTACCGCCATCTCCATCCAGCAACGGCATAATGTCAGTTTGCAGTGTTGTCCATCGCTCGCTGAAAATAAGAATTCGTGGGCTCCCAGGTCCAATATACGTCAGGCGTCTTCCTATTTCAAGCGCCGAAGTAGTTCCCATGTTCCTTTCAGCGCCTTCCCACTACATCTTCTGAGACGGGCGGACACCCAAATTGTTGACGCTTCGCGAATCCCCACCAGCTCGCGTGCGCTAGGCAATCAGGTTCGCGCGTAGCCCGCCCGACTTCTGACGCTGCTGGCGCGCTCGCCTGCGGCCGCGACGAAAAAGAATCCTCACCAGCCCATCCAGAAACGATGTCCAGAGGAATTGCCTCGATCAGGGAAAGAGGAAGCCATTCTGAGACATCTTGGGATATCTTGAGCCACCTTGGAGGTCATGTTGGACTCTCCCAGGCGCTCTGGGAGTCATCTTAATCAGTGCCCCCCCAAGAGGCCAACATGTGGCTACAACCTTGCTAAAATCGATGATTTGGCATTCTCGCCGAGGCCTCTTGGAGCATCTTGGGTGCCCCTGGGGGGTCTCTTGGGGGGCCTCCTGGGGGCCTCTTGGGGGCCTCTTGGGGCCATCTTGGGGCCATCTTGGGACCTTTTGGGGCCTCCTGGGCGCTTCTTGGGGCCATCTTGGAGGAGATCGATGGAACAAGAGGGTAGCATCAATTAGCGTCCCCCCCCAGGAGGCCAAAATGGGGCCAAAACCTTAGTAAGGCCAATGATGTTGGCTTCCCCGCCGAGGCGGTTTTGGACGCTCCGACGACTCGCGAACCCCCCTGTCCAGGTCCATGGGGAGGGGGTAGGGGGAGAGGTAAACCCCTCCCCGAAGGGGAAGAAGGAAGGGTGGAAGAGGAAACTCCCTAAACCACCGACGCCCAGAGGGCTGGTGGGACTACTTCTGGCTTCCTTCTACGTCATACTTTCTACCCAATTCCTTGAAACGGTTGGCATTGCAGATTCACAAGCGGTTCCCGATATAATTGCATGACATTTCTGCTAGGTTTGCGATTGTTGACGGTTCGCGTATCACTGTCAGGCCATCCAGAAACAAATCATGCGCGAAAGGGATGGATTATGAGCGACAGAAAATGGTGGGGTACGAGTCGAAGCGAACGTGGGGTCAGCCCGAGCATCCACCAATGACTGCCAACTTTGGGGTCCCCGGGAGTCTCTAGGAGGCCTCATGGAGAAACCTTGGAGTCTTCCAGGGTGACGAGAGCAGGGCTGGACGAAGAATATTCTCTGCGACGCAGAACAAGCACCAAGGTCGGGGACAGCCGGGGGCATCGCCGAAATAATGCAATGAGCAGCGACTCAGTCCAATCGCCTGGGCCTGGAACAGCGGAGGACAAGCCCATACGAAGACAAATAGTGGCGATGCAGGGCGATCGCGCATGAGGGTCAGGGACAGTCGGGAACAGGGTCGCGCCAATGAAATTGGCGGCGACGCGAGGCAAGCACTTGGCAGCGACAGAAGGTAATCTTAATAGAGCACGAGTAAAAGCCACTTCCACTCAGCGCACGCACTTTGGATGTAAAATGAATGCGTAGGCGTCCTTAGTTTCGGTTCAACAGGTGTGGCAAAATGGCATTGGTCTCAGCCGGAGCACGCCTGGCAGTGTCGGCTGAAGTATGATTGGTGATTTGCAAGAGGAGGGGCGTGACGATGCCAGCAGTACGCAAGAGTCGCTGGAATTGGACAGCGCAGTGGTGACGGACTTTCGGGAGAAGTTTGCTCTTGGCGATTTCGCTGCGGCTTTCGAGATTCTGAGCGACGCCATCGCGGCGGGCAGCATCTCGAAGATCGAGAGGTTCATCGAGGCGGAGCTGGCCGGGTCTCGGGAGAGCGCTACCAGCATGGGTCAGGCAAGCATGCTGCTCGCTCGCGCCAGACTTGCCCTGGCGAGGCGGGAGCCAGGCCTGGCCGCGCAGAGCGCCAGGGATGCGCGCCGCATCGCGGACGAGCACGGTGAGAGAGGCCAGGACCTCCACGTTGCAGCGACGCTCCTCTTGGTCGACGCGCACCTCGCGAGTGACCAGCCCGACGAGGCCAAGGAAGTCGCCTGGAGCCTGCTGCGGCTGGCGCAGGGCGGCAGCTCCGCCAAGGCGATGGCCAAGTCGAAGGCCAGAGCCAGGCCAGAGCTCGAGGCGAAGGCGTACGCTGCCGTCGGTGCCGCCTGCTTGGCGGGCAGCGGCGTTCGTAGTATGGAGCAGGGCGCGGAGGCCGCCGAGCAGTCGTTGGCGATATCTAGGGGAGCGAACAATGACATAAGCATAAAAACTCGAAGGTCCGCGCGAATTTCTCGGATCGGCGCTGGGGCCCCCTGGCGGCGCCTCCGGCGCCGCCCCTGTTGCGCTCCGCCCGCCAGGGAGTGGGGTCGAGCTCCGATCCGAGAAATTCGCGTGGACCTCCAAGTTTTTATTATGTTTATGTCATTGTTCGTTCCCCTAATATCGCGGGCCTGCCACAGGCTGGCGGACGAGGCCGCTGCGCTCCACGTGCTCGCCCAGGCGCAGATGGCACTGGGCAACCTGGAGGGCAGCATGGACGCTGCGGAGCAGGCCGTCGCGGGATGGAGGAGGCTGGGCCGGGGCACCGAACTTGTCGCTTCCCTTGGCGTTCTGGTGCAGGCGCACGTCAGGCAGGGGAACCCACTCGCAGGGCTTCGGGCGTCCAACCGGGAACTGTCCGAGCAGCGGCGGAACGGCAGCCCGAGGGGCGTCGCGGACGTCTTGCGCTTCATTGCGGACACGCACTCCACGCTTGGCGAGCCAGTCAGCGCCCTGCACAATGCTCAGGAGGCCTTGGGCATCTACACAGCCCTGGGCGATCAGCTGTCGCAGGCGTCCGTGCTTTTAAGGATCGCAGAATTGCAGCCTCTGGTGGGAGCGCTGGCGGAGGCGACGAGCTCTGGAGAGCTGGCTCTCAAGATGTTCAGGACCATCGGGCACCGCCGTGGCGAAGAGGAGGCCATGAGCATCCTCAGCGGCTTGCTGGTGACGCGGGGGCTGCCAGAGCAGGCGCCCCGGCGTGCGGAGGCGCTGGAGCTGGCCCGAGAGCTGGCTAGGGCTGTCGAGGCTCGGGACGCGGGCAGGGTCGAGGCCCTCGAGGATGCCCTGGCGGACCTGGGCGGCCTCGTCACCGGCGAGGACATCCGCACCGCGCTGGCCCCGGTGCTGCTCGGCGACCCTGCTGCAGCGGGCTTCCTGCAGGGGCTGGGCTGGGACATGCGCTGGGCGACCGGAGGGCACGCCACGCTCGCGTGCTGCACGCCGCGCGAGTTCTACGCGGGCGCGCAGGCGGCGGGCATGAGCTACGGGCCGCAGTTCCGGACGGTGCACCCGGCCAGGCTCGGGAGCCACCGCGAGGGCAGTGCCGTGGCCCTGGCGGTCCTGCAGCTGCCGGCGGACGACCGCTGGCAGGCGCGGATGGGGTTCCGGCCCGGCATCCTCGACGGTGCGCTGCAGTGCCAGGGTATGCTGGACCGCTGACGGGGGCGGCGCCTGGCGATCAGGAGCACCGGTGGAGGCGATCCCGCTCGAGCGCCGCGCTGTCCCCCCCATCCTCAGTGAGACGCCCAGTCTATCTGGGCCCTGGGCCCCTCTCGCCCCTCCCTCTCCATGCAGGGATGCCGTGGTTTCCTCGTCCTCTTCCTTCCACTCCTCTTCGTCCTCCGTCCGCTTCCTTTGCCATCGTCGTCACCCTCGCGCTCCTCCTCCTCCTCCTCCTTCTCCTCCTCCTCCTCCTCCTCCGTCCTCGTCCTCGTTTTTCTCCTCCTCCTCCTACTCGTCATCATCCTCGTCCTCCTCCTCATCATCATCATCATCATCCTTGCCTCTTAGTCTTCAGCTTACTCTTCTACCCAATATGTTGCTTCAACTACTCCCTGCCTCATTGCGCGTGATTATCATACTCCTACTTGCACATTGATGCATCAGATTTTGCTTCCTCCTCCCCTTGCAGGTTTTCGCGGCTGCTGTAGCGGCTCTGCTCTACTATGCCCCCTGGCCGCCACCAGTCTTGCTCAACAGGGAGCGCCAGGAGGCAGCGGCGGCGGCAGCTCCCTCTGCGAAGCATCGAGGGCGGATGGACAGCAGTAGACACGTGTGTGTGTGTGTGTGTTGTGTGTGTGGGTGTGCGGGTGCGTGTGCGGGTGCGTGTGAGGGTGCATGTGTGTGTGCGTGCGTGTGTAAGTGTGTAAGTGTGTGCATGTGTGCGTGCGTGCGCGTGCGTGTGTGTGTGTGTGTGTGTATGTGTGTGTGCGTGCCTGCGCGCGCGCGTGTGTGTGTGTGTGTGCGTGCGTGCGTGCGTGCGTGCGTGCGTGCGTGCGTGCGTGCGTGCGTGCGTGCGTGCGTGCGTGCGTGCGTGCGTGCGTGTGTGCGTGTGCGTGTGCGTGTGATTGTATGTTTCGTGTGTGTGTGTGTGTGTGTGTGTACGTGTGCGTGTGCGTGTGCGTGTGCGTGTGCGTGTGCGTGTGCGTGTGCGTGTGCGTGTGCGTGTATGCTTGTGGGTGTGTGGGTGTGTGGGCGTGTGGGTGTGTGGGTTTGTGGGTGTGTAGGCGTGTGGGTGTGTGGGTGTGGGGGTGTGGGTGTTGGTGTTGGTGTGTGTGTGTGTGTCTGCGGCCCGCCATGGACTCCTCCGCGCGGCCTCGCGCGAGACCGCGGCGCCCAACAAGTGTCTGTGTGGACGCATGTGCGTGTCTGCTCGACTGTGTGCTCGAGTGTGTGTGTGTGCGTGTGCTCGAGTGTGTGCTCGAGTGTGTGCGTGTCTGCTCGAATGTGTGCTCGAGTGTGTGTGTGTGTGTGCTCGAGTGTGTGTGTGTGTGTCGCCGGCCCGTCGAGGGCGCAGCGTCCAGCCACCGCAGCAGCTGACCTGTAGCCTGTGCATGCATGCCGGCGTGGGTGGCTCCAGGGGCTCCAGAGGTCACCACGGGCCCGAGCAGGCAGTCCCCGGATCACCGAACGGGAAAAGAGTGCACAATCCGGGGCTCCCAGATGGGGTCGGAGCAGATGGGGTCGGAGGATCGCGCCGCGTCGCCGATGCATCGACGATGCGGCTCGCTGTGGGGCCCGCTTTGCTTCACGTCGACGTCGCCGATACATCACCGACGTCGACGACGCATCGCTGGTTCATCGTCGATGCATCGCCGAGGCATCGCCGGTGCATCGGCGATGCGGCGCGATCGTGCGACCTGACCTACTTCGACCCCATCCAGGAGACCTCTACACACACTCAAACCCAGAGATCCGATGTGTTTTTTTCAAGGCGGGGTCCCCGGAAGGGTCGACCCCTTCCCCAGGACTTGGTTTTCATCCTGAGTCGTTTTTTAATTGTCCCTGGGCCCGGTGAAGGCTCCTAAAGGCCGAAAATTGTAAAACACATACAAAAACGCCATTATTGTTTTTCCCCACCATCCTGTGGTGTTGGGTCCTCGTTTTGAAGAGTCAGCGCCCCGCGTTCCTCTCCTCTCCTACTCTTCCCTCTTCTCCTCCCCCTCCATCTTCCATCCTCATCCTATGCATCATCATCCTCATTTCTTCCTCATCATTACCATCATCATCATCATCATCATCATCATCATCATCATCATCATCATCATCGTCATCGTCATCGTCATCATCATCATCATCATCATCATCATCATCATCATCATCATCATCATCATGATTATCATCATCATCATCAGCAGCAGCAGCAGCAGCATCAGCAGCATCAGCATCAGCATCAGCATCAGCATCATCATCATCATCATCATCATCATCATCATCATCATCATCATCATCATCATCATCATCATCATCATCATCATCATCATCATCATCATTATCATCGAGTGCGGCACACCCCTCACACGTTTCGTGGCCCCATTGGGAGCTCCACCGAAGGCCCCAGTGGAAGGGTCCGCATGGCACCACTGCCCCATTTCGGCACACCCCTCGCACGGTTCGGGGCCCCATAGTGAGCTCCACCGAAGGCCCCTATCGGAGGGTCCGCATGGCACCACCGCCCCATTTCGGCACACCCCTTACACGTTTCGGGAGCTCCACCGAAGGTCCCAGTGGGAGGGTCCGCATGGCACCACCGCCCCATTTCGGCACACCCCTCGCACGGTTCATAGCCGTATAGGGAGCTCCACCGAAGGCCCCAGTGGGAGGGTCCGCATGGCACCACCGCCCCATACTGGCACACCTATCGCACGGTTTGTGGCGCCATAGGGAGCTCTACCGAAGGCCCCTTTGGGAAGGTCCGCATGGCACCCCCGCCACATTTCGGCACACCCCTCGCACGGTTCGTGGTTCCATAGGGAGCCCCACCGAAGGCCCCTTTGAGAGGGTCCGCATGGCACCACAGCCCCATTTCGGCACACCCCTTACACGGTGTGTGGCCCCATAGGGAGCTCCACCGAAGGCCCCAGTGGCAGGGTCCGCATGGGCTCTGCTGCGAACCCTGACGAGCGCCTTGTATTTTTTTTCTGCTCGCAGTGCATTGCTGTGCCCAGTGCCGCGGACGACCCCCGCGAGTCGCCGGAACTCCTCCCGGGCGACTGGCGCGCGTCGCGGGAACTCCGCGCTGCGCTCCGCTCAGAGCCGCGGCCATCAGGGCGCTACTAGCAGTGTCAGCGCGCAGAAGCATACGACCAACACGCCACAACATAAAAAAACAACATATTTCGACACATTTTCGGAGGCCGCATGATGAAACAAACTCTCTGGCTTGGCACACACAACGCTAGGGCAAAAGGGGAGAGAAAGACATGAGCTGGGAAGAACATGTGAACAAAACGGCCGCGCAAGGGGTCCCGGCCACCGCGGGCAGCGTTGGTTCGGGCGGCAGCGCGCCACGGAGGCAGGGGGGGAACATCGAGAAACAACGGCCGCGCACGGAGCTCAGGCAGGCCAGAGCGAGACACCAGGAATGCCACGCGCAACGTAAACAAAGAGAGAGAGAGAGAGGATAATAATCGGGGAAAGAAACGGAGACAAAACGGCCGCGCAAGGGGCCCAAGAAAGGAAACAAACGTGCAACGCGCAACGGAAACAAAGATGGCGGACTCCCTGGCGGAACTGCCAGCGCTGCACACCCTCGGCGACCCACCGCAGCACGTCGCGCGGGGCCTCCTGTAGGAGATCGTACTGCACGCCGAGGTCCGACTGGATGGCGTGGACGGCGGGCATGGTCCAGTCGATGCGCTGCAAGGAGAGCCAGACGGCAGCCATGGGCCCCCGCACGGCCGCCCACGAAGGGCGCGCCTCCAGAGCCGCGGAGACCACCTGCCAGGCGCGGGAGACCGGCTCCAACTGCCCCCGTCCGTCCCACAGCCAGGCTGCCCAGCGCCCAACGATGTCGAGCGTGGCCGCGTACAGGGGGTCGAATCGCGCGTCGTCCTGCAAGGCGAGCGCCATGGTGAGGCTGGCGGCGGGTTTGGCCCCGGCGAGCTGGCCGGCGAGCGTGCGCAACTGCCGAAGGGCCTGCGGCGCGACGCCGCTGACTCCTGCGCCGTGCGCTGCTGCCGGCGCGAGGCCTGTGCGCTGGAGCTTGCGCACCTTGAGGCCAACCGCGCCGCGCAAAATGCGCAGCCGCCCGCGCCGGGCTAGCACGTGGCGGACACGCTCGTGCTCCTGGCGGCGCAGCGCCCGCGACCCGGCGAGCTCGTGGCCCAAGTTCCGCATCCAGTCCATGGGTTTGATGCGTAGCCGACGGGCACTGGCCTGGAAGGCGCGAGCCGCCCTGGCGTGGCTCGCGACCAGCCCCAGCTTGGAGACGTTGACGGTGAGGCGCGGCTCCTCGAGGTCCTCCAGAAGCGCCGTCAGGGGCGGCTCGAGCTGGGCACTGGCCCGGCTCGGGCACCCAGACCAGGCCAGCGAGAGGTCGTCCACCAGCTGCCGCGGCACCACGGCGGGGGAGTACGCTCCAGCTCGGATGACCGCGCGGTAAGTGAGCACGGCCAGCAGGGTGGTGGCGTGGCCGCATCCAGCCACGATGCCCTGCGTGGTGCTGACCATGCGGGAGGCAGAGCCGTGGGCGAGCAGGAAGCGAGGCTGGGCGAGCAGGAAGCGAGGCTGGGTGTGTGTGTGTGCGTGTGCGTGTGTGTGTGTGTGTGTGTATGTGTGTGTGTGTGTGTTTGTGTGTGTGTATGTGTGGGGTTCGTGGTGCTCCTCTTCCTCCTGAGCGTCGACCTGGTCAAGTGGCGCGTCCTCCTCTGCAGTGCTTGAGGCTGGTGTTCGCGATGTGCCATTGGCGGCAACACCATCTCCTTCGCCTTCCGGGTCTCCGCCCCTGGTCCCTGTCCGCGGTGTACCTTTTCCTGCACTTCCACTTCGGCACCGCCTGCACCCCGGGCCTCCGCCCGCTCCGGCCGCCTGAGGCCCCGCCTTCTTGTGCCCTGTCTCCTTATTTTAAGCTGTGCGTAGCCCGCCTAGCTTTCAGCGGAAGAGGTTCGCTCTCGCCCCGCAGATCAAAAGTGTGTTTGTGTGGGTGAGTGGGTGGGTGG